TGGACAATGGAAGAACTAATGAAGTCTAATGCATAACAATTTATTCCTACCAAAAGGTCCCTGTTTTAACAAGCTAACCAGACAATGTAATTATTGGCAGTGACTCAAATCCTGCTTTGTTTATGTTGTTGATCAAATCCCGAGTTTTATGTACGATGAGGGTCAAAATGTATATATGAACTTATTTGGAAAAGTAAATAAGTATATTTTAGATTAGGAAGGGAATTAAATTTAAATTTGGTTTTAAATGAGAAAAGAATTTGTTATTTTCTTTTAATTCACTCCAAATAATGTAAAGTTGCATCTAGCAAATATTACTTCACCCCAAGAGTTTATAAAATTTAAATCAATTTTTTAAAAATTTTTGTCACTCTTTTTAAATTCTAAATTTTAAATCAAAATTTGTTTCGCTTGCCTCGTAAACTAACACACTCAGAATGAACAATTACCAAAAATCAGGAAGTTATTCACGTTTCGTAAGTGCGGATGTTATTCGAGGTATTTACAAGGTTTTTTTTACAAAAAATGAAGAGAAAATCTCTTTTTGACGTACCTAACGGGGTTAGCACGAACACATATTCCACACTTCGAAATAGTGAACCTGAGTACACGTGAGGTCACTAAGGTCAACATAACCGGAGTGCAATGGAAGTACTTCGTTTTGGGAGAATTTGGGGGAATTTTAGTAAATATAACTTATTCTTAGTTTGGTTTGAACTAATATTTTGGGGTGAATTGGTTCAACCAGTCTCTTTTTCAAGGAATCATGACAATTCAGAGATAAAAAAAAGAAAATAACCTGTGGCTAGCCATATTTACCTAAGTTCTGATGGACATTTGATGTCATTCTTTTAAAATTTGAAGTTCTTAACGTACTTATTAAATTTAAAATTTCAATTATTCAAATTCTATGTGTTAAGATTAAAAATTAAATTCTGCATATTAACATTAAGTTGAAATAGATTTAAATTCTATATTATTTTTTTTGAGGAGATTCTTTTATGTGACATCGAAATTTTCCTTCTTCTATGTGGTGGGCCCTTTCAGGACGTTGGCGATCATGGCTCTTCACCTTTGTAGCTCTTAATAATTTTTGCCTTTTTGTTATCTCTCCTAAAACCAGTTTTGTCATCCATTTACTCGCTAGGTAGGTTATGCAATGTTTTATTTTCTGCCAGTCTTGCTTTTAATATATTCTGTGAATATAAGCATAATTATATAATAGTCATTATGTGCACAAAGAAATTTCAACTGTCTCTTCCTGATGTTGCTCACATGTTCGGTCCACGGTATCCTCAGCATCCTTCTGTAGAAATTTCAATTGCCTCTTCCTGATGTTAAGTATGTTTCCTTTTTGTTTCTATTTCCTCTTGAACTTCGTCGTTGCTCACATGTTTGATCCACGTTATCCTTAGCAACAAGGTTTGAAGGGTAAAAAAATAATTCATCACCCACAACACTTTTGAACTCTATCAAGACAGGCAAGTGTGTGTTGGGCAGCTCCATACCACACATTTTTTGTAAGCATTTCATACCTAGCAATGTGGGTGTGAACACTGAACACTTTTCACGGAAATAGCGATAGAACGGCGAAAGACTCGCGACAAAATTTGAAGTGTAAAAAATTAATTCATCACCCACAAGACTAAGACGCTTTTGAACTCTGTCAAGACAAGCATATGTGGGCTAGGCAGCTCCATACCTCACTTTTTTTAAAGCATTTCACCCCAAGCAAAGTGGGTGTACCACTAGCACGTAAGGCGTTACAGAGAGTGAAAGTAAGGGTAAAGAAGGGTGTTTGAGAAAAGGATAAAGAGAAGGACGGGGATCAAGGTCAAGGCATCAGAAAATATCGATTGGGATTACATTAAAAGTTTTGAAGATTAGAGTTATCAGGGAAGCAAGTAAGAGGAAGGGATTTCCACTGTCGGGAAGTGCGGGAGAAGAAGCTATAGGAGTACAGGTTAGTAAACCTGCTGTAAATGTTTGGGATGAAGATGCCAAGCTATTATCACGCTTAAATTCACGCAGTTGGGGCACCAGTGAAAATAGCTCTTCAGAACAGTTGCCATGTAAATATCTGTAGAAAAGACAGAGGGAGGCAACATCACGTCTCTGAGAAAGTGACTGAAGTCGAGATGCCAGGTGAAGACCTATCACATTGCATATCCGTCTTTGGATTTTGTCGAGGACCTCGAGATGAACAGGGGGTGGGGGTATCAGATCATATAAAGCAAAGGTATTCAATGAAAGGACGAATGGTAGATTTGTAGATTTGAAGGATGTAGTAATACTAGTGATACTTCATTTTTGGTCTGTCCTGACCCCTGAAAAGATAATGTATAGCAGGAGGAGTCAGATACTTACTGGAGCGGTGCAATGAACCAGCTATTTTTCCAGCATCTTTAGAATAAGATCGGATATAAAAATTCCACTTTAGGTCTGGAGATAACTTGCGTCCAAAAAGACGTTCAATGCAAAGAGCCTTCTTGATAGGTAAATGTTCTCACTTTATTCGGTGGTAGCGGAATCTATCTATCTATCTATCTATCTATCTATCTATCTATCTATCTATCTATCCTCCATTCTTTCAAGATTCCTTCTATCTATCTTTTTAAAAACAATTCACCCCAAACAAGAGGATAATGCCACTGAGACACAAGGGTGGCTACTGGCAGTGAAAGAAAATAGAAAGAATTTAGAATGAACCAGAAATCTGATACTGAACAGGAAGCAAGGAATAAACCTCGACATCTATCTATCTATCTATCTATCTATCTATCTATCTATCTATCCCAGTCTCTTCATATCTATCTATCTATCTATCTATCTATCTATCTATCTATCTTTGAATATTTATTCTCTTTACTAAAAATTCTTTATTCCTATCGGTCTTCCTTTGTTTTGCTTTCAAACCATTCTCTCACTTTTTGGTTGATAATTTCTTGTGATATTTTTTTTTATTACTCATTGTTACTTTGAATAGCCATCATTATTTTCGCTGTCTATTAAATAACAAAGAAAGAACTCATTGACTGAAAACGTATTTGTTTAAAAAGATAAGTTTTGCACGGAAAACACAAGTACTGAAAAGGCGCGGCAAAAAGATACAACTCAGTGAAATTTCCAAAATAGAACATCAAACGAAGTTTTTGTTTTCTACTTTTTGTGACTACCAAACAGACGATCAACTGATGTGCCAATCTGAAACTCGCCGAACGGCCATTATCGATTCCTCAGCACTGGTAAAGAGAAGCAAAAATATAATCGATAATGCAGAGACAATCGATCACCTACCATTGAATTTCATTATTAAAGTTGCATGATTTATTTAGGTCGTGGCCTTTTAGCTATTATAAAGTAAATGGAGGAAAGAAAAAACCTGACTGGACTCCAGTTGGGAAATGGGCAACGACTGAGAGCCCATTACTATTTTTTCTTTATAATCACCAAACTTAACCCAGCGTAATTTTACCTCACGAATCTCCCTATCCAGGATAGACAGAGTTCAAATCGTCTATAGGCCTTGTGGGCATTTAATTACCTTTAACCTTATCACCCAATTCCCGTAGACGAAACATCGCAAGCTGATCGTTACTTTCTTGCTTCGTCCTGGGTAAGACGATAAACTACATCCGCGTCCTGGGTAAGATGATAAACTACATCCGCGTCCTGAGTAAGAGGATAAACTACATCCGCGTCCTGGGTAAGACAATAAACTAAGTCCGACAACAAATTTTTGATCAGGAGAGTTTGAGGAGCGTGGAATTACTTCTTAATTTCTGGTGTTCCCAGGTCTACCCTGACCCGGCGTGGAAGCACCTGTTAGGGTCCCGACTATGGGAAAATAGTTAAACCCTAAACTGGGGTCAAGGCACTATGGATGTGCAAAAATAGGTTTAATAACAGAAATACTTTGTAAAAAAAAATTATTACCAGCAATACATTTTTGAAAAAAATATATTACCAGCAATACATTTTTGAAAAAAAAAAGATATTACCAGCTATACATTTTTGAAGGCAAACCATTACCAGAAATTCATTCTTGAAGAAGAAAAAATAACAGCAATAAAAGTCTTGTCGGCATTAAATAACCCATTGAGGATGATATGCCGTAAAAACCAAACCAAACCAAACCAATATATACTGAGATAGATAGATAGATAGATAGATAGATAGATAGATAGATAGATAGAAAATATAATCAGCAATAAGAATCTTGTCGGCATTAAATAACACATTGAGGTTGATAGGCCAAAAAACCAAACCAAAGTCTCTTGCTATTTCAATAGGTAATCTTCTGACAAGCTACTTTCCTGATTTCCACCATTTATCCTTTACCATTAAGACATAACATTCCATATATAGAGAAACGAATCCTTCTCATTCTCTTCGTATACCATTAGTAAGAAAGAAGAGCCATTTAAACGGTTTTTTTCCCCGAGAGTCACTGCTTTGTGGAAGAGATTCCCGATAGGATGTTTACCCGAGAGATTGAGATTATGCTAAGCTCCAAATAGTCTTACCGAGGTACTTCTGGAAGTTCTTCTGCAGCCCCGCTCTATCGCTAACGAGAGTCATATCAGAGATTAAAAATGGATTATTGCCGAGATATCAGGGCGGGAGCTGACCAATACACTCACTTTCTATCGCTATTTCCATGGCAAATGTACAGTCGAGCTACATTCCTTCGACCACCCTTTAGAGCTATGACACGCAATACCACGTACACAAGACCGAATCATTCAAATCAGTCAGTCAGTTATATGCCATATCGTGATACACGCTTAAGCGATCATGTATCTTTCGATACATGACTGACAAGGCAATTTTTTCCAGCAGTAGGCTTCTTTCTGCGGTAGACCAGCTGCCATCCAAGGCTATAGAACCAGGTCTGTCCTGCTATTTACCCATAGCTGATGGGGAGAAGTAGAAGATTCATTTCTTTCCCAAGAGTATTATTAAAACTCGGCTCTCCGATTTCTCAATCCGAGTCACTATCCATTAGTCTACCGTAGTAGTTTGATATATAGCGATTCCCTAAGCATAGCTAAAATGTGGCACAAGGACAAAACTATAGAGCACCCAATGAGTATCAAACTCACTATTCACTCATAACTGATCTAGCGAGACAAGTTTTCTAACCATTTTATAATTTATTGGAAGCATTATTTAAAATTATTCTTTGAATTATGCAGATTGGGATCCATTTATAATAATTGCCAATGTGTATTTATTTATTTATATCTTTCATGTCACGCACTATATTTGAAAGGGAGGTAAATAAACTTATGGTAGTAATCTTATGAGTGGTTACTTCCCTTCAGTCAGTTATGTGCCATTCTTGATACAAGCTTATGCGATCATGTATCTTTCGATACATGAATGACGAGGCAGATTTTTCCTGCATTAGGTTGCCATTTCTTTCCGTGGTCGACCAGTTGCTATCGAAAGCTATAGAACCCGGTCTGTCCTGCTATTTTACCCATATTTAGGAAAGAGAAGAGGAGGATTCATACCTTTCCCAATATTCTTCCCAATATCCTTCGTATTTAATTGGTAAGTTCCATTCAGACATTTTGTTTTTTTTTGTGGATGATTTCTTGACCACTGAGAGAACGACATAAATACCTATCCTCGCCATTGATTCACAAACACTGCTCATTTATTCAGTAATTATAATTAATGCTGTAATTCTTCGGGATTAATGAAGCCTATAATTCATAGTAAAACAGCGTCCACCGCTTGTTAAACGATGGACAGGGCAATGAATTTAAATAAAGAAAAGATATCATTAGTAAGAAAGTAGATGCATTGCGATAGAATATCAATCCTCCAACATGGCAGAAAATATTGGACAATTTCCTCACCAACCACGAGAATATTCGAGACAACGCAGATATGGTTCTACAGAAGGATGCTGGGAATGTCATGTACGGCACATGTGAGCAAAAAAGTATTTGTGAAGGAAAATGCAAACAAAAATGATTTAGAATCAGAAAGAGACAGTTGAAACTTCTGGTGCGCACAGTGAGGACATTTGGAGAGTGAGACACTCACAATACATATAGAAGACATGAAGGGCACAAGGAAACAACGTGTAATCTACTTAGCAAGCTTTTGTAAATAGATCTCATAAGAGGGAATCGGAAGGCGAGTAAAAAAAAACATTGCTAAGAGCTACAAAGCATAGGAAGTTGTGGAGAGTCATTAACGCATGCGTTCCAAATGGACACGGCACATAAAAGAAAAGCAAATAAAGAATTTCCTGCAGGGTGTAGGCAGTCATGGTTCTCCACAGATTCCTTTTCTTTATGATCTGAGAATTTCTATGAACGGTTTTCTCTAATCTTGGGTAGTAGCTTGTTTAAGATGACAAGTTTAAATTCAAAACCACGGTGAAGGCAACGGGAAATCGCCCCATTCTCCTTTCCAATAAGTTATGGAAGTTCACAGATAATAAAGAAAAGAGATACGTAGAGAAGTATGATCGTCTAGATTCTAACAAGACATATAATTAAATTAAAAAAAAAGATCATAGGAATGTGATTTAAATTTATTTGGGAGATGTTCAACCAGATCCCATTTCTCTTATTTGTCACTGAGTTTTATTTATTTATTTTACATCGAAGTGATCTTTCTTCTTTTTTTTATATGCTCTTTTATTTAGCGCTTTTATTTTACTTTTAAAAGCTCCCTTTATTTCATTAAACTGTGGGCAGTTCATTTGCACTCTTAATAGAAATCACCATTATAGCGTGAGGTCCGTCATACGAAGAATGGTTTCATTCATAGAATGATAACTTTATTGAACTATGAGCCATGCTCTGTTCGTGCAGACGTCAGTATTTGGTAGAAGTTCGTAAATACAGACACACACACACGAACACACACACACGAACACATACACACACACATTATCCCAACCAGTAACAAATTGGTAATATATATATATATATATATATTGAAAAATACATCCTATATATATATATATATATATATATATATATATATATATATATATATATATATATAAATACATCCTTCCCACGACCCAAACGTAGCAATAACTGATACATTAAATTATAGACATATTGAAAACCCAGCCACCCCTGTCTAAAAAATAGATTTATCTGTAACCTTGAAACATGAATTTTGTTTTTAGCTGTGTATTTAAAAACCAGTAATTTTAAAAAGTTACTCCAAAATTCGCTTGAGGATGAAATGGAACTAATGTCTTTAATTTAATCACAAAATTAAATTCGTGGCTTTTAGCTTTCATTTTTGAAACATGGTTAGAACTGTGTAGCGAAAAAACATATTTTAAATCAATTAATTTATAATATATATATATATATATATATATATATATATATATATATATATATATATATATATATATATATCGATTTACTATGAGTTTTCGGTCTGAAGAGTTGAATATATAGATATACACGAAATAGATTATAACCGAAATGAAACTTTAATGTTTTCTTTTTGATTATTATTATTATTATTATTATTATTATTATTATTATTATATTTCTGCATTTTACATTGAGCTCTCCCTGTATTAATATCCTCCTTGGAATTATCCTTACCAGTAACAAATTGGTAATAAATATATATATATATATATATATATATATATATATATATATATATATATATATATATATATATAAAGTTGTAGCCTCTATCTCTCTGTTTGTTATCGAACTCCTGTTAAGGTTTTGGAGATAGACCCCATAATCATAGATATTCTGAAACTACCTTAACCCGAGTATTTAGATAAGTATTTTTCAATTTGTTCACAGGGTGTCTCCGGGGTGGTGGGGGGTTGCACAAAGCTCCCACTATTTTTTTTACTTTGATATAAATTAAATTTATATTTGAACAAG